ATTTTCAAAGCTACTCAGTTAAATTTTGCTTCTTAACACTTGTCTTAGTTCACATTTGAAACAACTCTAAGGAAAAACTCTGATTAGGCTTACAGAAATCACCTGGCCTTTTAATGGTCAAGGCAGTGAGGGTTTATGATTGGTGGATTATTCTAGAAGGAGTGTGTAGTATCATTGTGAGAGGAATGGTTCCTTCCACAACTCTGTATATCTGCCCAAAACAATGAGAAGTAATGGACATTGCATATTTCCTAATGAACAATACATCATTACAAGTGGAATGACAAAGACAGGCGCACAATGTTTTGGAAGCACTTGAAAAGGATACAGAAGCTAAGCAAGGGAGATGAAAAAAGGTTTCCCAGAGAAGGTAATGCCTGAACTACACTGTGAATGAGTTATAGGAATTACAAGAAAAAAAAGTAGAAAATATTTTCACAGGAAGAGGCTTTGGTAATATCTAATGTCCAGAAACAATGGAGTTATAGGGAAAGAAGTAATCTAAGTAATTTAGTATGCCTGGAACATCAAGTGCACAAAAGGAAAAGGCTGTATGAAGCTTGAGAGATAAACAGCAGCCAGACCATAAGTACTCTGTTTTTCTACTAAGGAATTTGAACTTTTCCCAAAGACTATGGAAAATCTCTGACCACTGAATGATAGTAAAAAGAGAAATAACACAATGAAATATGGTTTTCTTATATTTACTCTGCCATCAGAGAGCTTTCTTTGTCTTTATCCTGGAAGTGATAAGAACACTATTAAAGGCTAATTAATAATGGGTTTGAGTTATAGTGGTGGTTTTAAAACATGTCCATGAATTTTTTTAATACTCCTCCTATCTGGGTGTGTGCAGGGGACTATTGTTCTATACCTTTGAATCTGGGAGGACTTTGTGACTGCTTTGAAGAATAAAATGAGGGAGAAGTGCACAACAAAGCTTAAAAAACTATATTACAAAAGGCCACATGCTTTCTGATGATTTCTCTTGGGAAATGTGTTCGGAGAGGCTCCAGCTGCCATGGAAAAGCCTGCCTGGCTTGCAGCCACCACATGAAGAGACCATTGGTGAAACCCCACAAAGGAAAATGAACAATACATCATACCTCTAGAACATGGTACAAGTGAAGAAGTCTTCAAAGAAGACCCTGTCTCCAGCCACCATCTGACTAAAAACAAATGAGATTCCAAGAAAGGATTGTCCAGCTAAAGCCCCAGATTTGGAAGCAAAATAGATGATAGTGTTTTAAACCACTCTTCTAAGGTGGTTTGTTATATAGCAATAGCTAATGACAACTGTAAGGCAAATAAAACAGGTTAAAGCTTTTTTTCAATCTTTCTCAAACATTTTCAGACATATAGAGAATTTCAAAAAATAGTATGTGCTAAGCCTACGTCACCAAACTGAGATTTAATACCTATTTAGCTACAGTTTCAGCCTCTCTCAGGAGTGGATCTTAAACCAGTCCATCTAGAATTACCTGGTCAGTACTAGTGTTCATCTGCTTGACAGAGCCCTGCCATCCCTAAAGGAAGGCAACCGTGCCACAGAAAAACAACTTTGCTAACTGCTCTTCTGCCTATAGATGTCCCTCGGTTTGTGCAGCTCCCTGGAGGCCTTTCTATCTGTTAGATGAAATGCTGCCTGACTCATGAATCATTGAATTCCAATAAGCCAGTAATATCATTAAACTGTATTCAGTTAAATTTTGCTTTTGAACAAGACTAAGTTAAGATTGTGACAGTTGGGATGGAGCAAAGTGGACACTTCCAAATTGTTAAGATGGAAGATCCATCTATGCTTAGTCCTAGAGGCAAGAAATATTCCTGGTCTTGGAGCCCATCAATCTATCCTGATGGTAGCTGGCTCTTGTTTTACTGATGGCAGATTATTTAAAAATTCAAATTAAATAACTAACTCCCTTGCTTAAATTCCAAGCCTATCAAGTGAATTTAGCAAATGGCTGTGAGTAGCTAAAACAGTATTATATTTCTCACTGGAGATCTATACCTTGAAATTCTGGTTTTACATCAGTTTAAATGTGATAAGATAAAAAGATCCTGAATAAAAAAGAAGCGAAACCTATCTATATGGTTAATTCCAGCTGTATTCATATTCTAATGATCGGTTAGGGGAAAATATATAATAAGTATTTTAGGGGCAATTGAGAAAATATGAACACAAACTCTATAATAGATGATGTTGGGAAATAGTGGTAATACTTTAAGGTGTAATAGCAGTATTGTGATTATGTAGGTGCATGTTCTTATTAGTAGGAAGAATGTATCATCAGTGTCATGATGTTTGTCATTTACTTTTAAATGGAAAAAATTAGGGTGGTGGGCATATGAGTGCTTATCACACTGTTTTGAAATTCCCTGTTTGAAAATTGTTCGTAAAACAAAAGGTTGAAAAAAGTTCTAACCCTTGAGAACAGAAAATATTAGAAGATTACAAAAGAAATTTGAAATGGATATTTGAGGAATGTGAGTTTTTTTCTTAAAGACTTTTAGAGCAGTTTTAGGGTCACAGCAAAAACAGAAGGATGGGACAGATTTTGCATAAACTCCCTGCCCCCTGACACATGCATAGCCTCCCCCATCATCAACATTTCCTACCAGAGAGGTACATTGGTTACAATCCAGGAACCTACATTGACACGTAATAATCATGCAAAATCCATAGTTCACATTGGGGTTCAGTCTTGGTGCTGTACATTGTAAAGGTCTGGACAAATGAATAATGATATGTTTCCATCATTTATATTTTCAGAGTATTTTCATGGCCCTAAAAATCCTCTGTGCTTTACCTATTCATTCCCTCAATCTTAACCCTTGGTAACCATTGAACTTTTTATCATCTTCATAGTTTTGCCTTTTCCAGAATATCATATAGTTGCAACTGTACATCACTTAGCCTTTCCAACTTGGCTTCTTTCACTTAGTAATATGCATTTAAGGTCTTTTCATGTCTTGATAGTTCATTTCTTTTTAGCCCTGAATAATATTCCATTGTCCAGATGTACCACAGTTTATGCATTCACCTAACAAAGATACCTTAATTACTTCCAAGTTTGACAATTATGAATAAAGTTGCTATAAACATCTGTGTGCAGGTTTTTATGTGGACAGAAATTTTCAGATTCTTTGGGTGAACAGTCAGGAGAATAATGGCTGGATCATATCATAAGAGAATGTTCAGTATTCTAAGAAACCGCCAAACTGTCTTCCAAAGTGGCTGTATCACTTCCCATTTCCATCAGCAATGAATGAGAGTTCCTGAAATATGAGCTGTTTAATATAGCATTTGATATTAGGATAGAAAAGGATTTTTGAAACATTTTACCTAATTAAATGAATTAACTTTTAAAATTACCTTCTGTATGATGTTTTGTGTTATGCTGAAAATAAAGGTAGAGGGCACACTTTGCAAATTGGCGGATTGAATGTTCTAAGGAAAAGTATTGGAGAAGCTTTGAGACAGAAAGATTAACCACAAGTTCATCTCCAAATCATTTTTCACAGATAAATTCCCCACTGTGCTTAGGTATTTTTTAAATAAAAGTTTAATTCAGCATTTTGATTGTTTTCAGTAGATTTGATCAGAAAAAAACACTCAAACTATTACCCTCCCATGTAATTACTTTTCTCAACTGGCTTTAAAGTACTCCTTTGAGAGATTTAGCTGTATTTGAGTCAAAGCTAAAATGAGACAAAAATTTCAACTTGAAAATAGGGACTAAGAACTTACAAACATATAATGTGAAAATAATTCCTGGATTTTCATACAAACAAGGATTGAAAAATGTCTTGGAGAAAAATAATTAGCCTTAGGAATTAGGGCTATACAATTCGTTCTCCTTGTTTCAGTAACGAAACTTAGTTTCTCTTATTTTGTGGGTTTGTTTTTTATATCAGAGACACTGAGACCTTGATAGAAGATAGGTAACAGGGACTACCCAATATCTAATATATTTCTTAGAACTTCCTGGAATTGTTCAGGGCAAATCTTCCGTATTTTTTATAATTTGCGCAGCCCTCCCCCTACCGGTTCCTTGAATCTCTGCTGTGAATAGTCTTTTGATTCCTAGTGGGGAAAGGAAGGGCCAGAGAGTGCCGTGGTGAGGACGGCACCTGGCCCACCATTCCAGTCTTACACCAGCCATTTAGGTGGCACATTCTATTCATGTTAGAAACACAACCAGTAGTACTATCCTTGGGTGAATTTTTGTAAAAGAAAAAATATGGTGAACTACTGAGTTTATCACCTGAATAAAAATTGCCTGGTAATTTCTTTTCCAGAAGACAGGCTCAACTTCTGGGTTAATAAGAGAAAGTGAATCATTTCTATATTTGAACGTGCGTGAAGCCTTCAGTAGTCATGACTGACATCACGTCCCTGGACCTTGATTACATGCCCTTCACCTTATACGCCTCTTCAAATTCCTGAGTCATGCTCTGTTTATGTTGCTGCTCTAGGAACAAACTGCGGAAGACAGCCAAACAAAAAATAACGCCAACGCGGTGAAGGAGGGGTCATGGTCAGGGAAAGCCAGCCTAACACCCAGGTGCCAGGCGGCTGCAACAGAAGGGGCAAAGGGCAAAATGCAAGCATGGGGCATCTATGCACTGGCCAAAGGAATCCCAGGACCCAGGTTCCTTCTTTCCCTAGACTCCAGATCCCAACCAGTTGGGAAAAGCTGTATTTTCGACCTGGGTGTTTGTTTTTGGGCCCAACTATGAAACAGCAAGGAAGGAAAAGAAAACTTATTTTGAACACTACGTTTTTGCTTTAAAAGCATCTTTAATGCCACAGTCAATAATATAAGAATTTTAAAATGTTCACGTTTTCAAATAAACTCTGCTCAGGTACCGCGTGGGTAGAAGAGAGTACTCTGGAAGGGTCTGGAAGGGACAGGGTTCCTGCCCACCCCCCGCCCGCGGGCCGGACGCCGGGGGCGGGGCGGAGGCGGGGTGCAGGGGCCGGACGCCGGGGGCGGGCGCGCCCGGCGAGGTGACGTCACGGGCCGCCGTGCCGCGGTGGTGGTGGTCCTCGGGAAAAGCCGCCGGGATCGCTGCGCCTGGCGGTGCCCTACGTCCGCACCCGGGGACACGCCATTCCTTCCGAAAGCTCAGCCGGAGCTGCGTTGTGGCGGAGCTGGTGTTTCTGAGGCGATTGTGATACAGAGTGAAAGTTGGCGGAAGGACGCCAGGCGGGAGAGACGCGGCGCTCTGCGAGGGAGGCAGGCCCCGGCCCGGGAGCTTAGGAACCCTGCGGGTCATCATGAAGTTCCAGTATAAGGAGGACCATCCCTTTGAGTATCGGAAAAAGGAAGGCGAAAAGATCCGGAAGAAATACCCGGACAGGGTCCCGGTGAGTGCGACGGGAGCGGGGCCGGGGAGGGGGCGTTTGGCGACGGGTGGCTGCCGTGGGCACCGAGGGGCCCCGCGTTACAGCCCCGAACGCCCTTCACTGCAGGCGGAGTCCGGGGTGGACTCCCCCCGTGCCCGTCTTCGGGGCTGTCGCCGCTGTGGAGCGGAGCCTGCGTTTGAGTGACTCAGCAGGATTCGGAGGCCGCGTGGGATGGGCTCCAGATGTGGCCCTTCTGTGCGGGAGCCGTAGGTGGGGCCCGTACGCTTGCAGACTGCACGATCACACGGAAAATGTTCTGAGAATAAGCAACCCGGTGCAGTGGGGTTTGCCCCCATCGATTTCTGCCTTAGGTGATTCTCCCTTAATCAAGCTGACTTCGGCCTTCATAGCATTCGGTTTGAGAGGGAAGGGTTTGGAAACCAGTGGCTCCTTTTTTTTTGTTCTGTGAAGATTAGGAAGGGAGGTGGGGTGCGCCACAAGACAGGCCTAGCTCTGAAAACAAGGTCACGTTATCTGCGCAGTGGTCCGGCTGCCTCATCATTCTTGGCTCCGGGGGCGTGTGTGGGGGCAGCCACCCGCCCTCCGCTACTAACTCTGATCAGATTATACCTGAACACCAGTAAAGGTCAACTGACGCCTTTTTCTCTCCGTTTGGAAGCTGGCTTATGCCGTTAAAACTAGTGCAGGCAGTGAGAAGGAACAGAGTAGAAATAGTAAGGTATTTTCCTGCATCCGGGCCTTTTTCTGACACTCCCTCCCCCGCCACTTGCCAGGTTTTTCTCTAACGTTGGTTGCGCAGCCAGATTGGAACGCCAAAGACTTATTTTACGTGTGGTAGAGGGAACAGTAACCATTTGATTTGGAAGATGGAGGCACAGAGACTTAAAGATTGTGCTCCTTATTGGCACATTTGGATAAATATTACCTATAATTTACAGGTAAAGGAATTGTAATGATTCAGTGCCCGTTCTTGACCCGCAGGTACTCTTTGGGTCTCCTTTTCAATAATTACCTGACTTTCATGGTGTTACACCTAACAGAAGCAGCCCGGGTTTTATGCCAGCAGTAGAAACTCATTGCAGTCCTTTTCCTATGAGGAAGAGGAGACATTAGAATTGTTGCATCCCCTGGGAACTGCGCACAAAAGGGTTTTCAGCTAAAAAGGAGAGCTAGCCCCCTTATCCAGTAAAGGATCCTTCACAAGTTATTTCCCTGGTCTCTGGACCTTAGATGACTGCTTGGGTTCTGGTGATACCAATCCTACTCTCTTATGGTAATACTTAAAAGTAATAACTTATTGATAGCCTGCCATGTACTTGGCAGTATTTTAAGTGCTTAGTCTATATATATTCATTGACTCAGTCCTTGCACCTTTATAATCCCATTCTACAGATGGAGGATCTGAAGCACAGAGAAATTAAGTAACTTCCTAAAGGTTTTACGTGGCTGGTGTGTGGCAGACTTGGATTCCATCCCTGGCTGTTGGTTCCTGCGTGTCATATCATTTCTGAGGTTCTAACACAGTTTTGGTAAACAGAATTAAGTGTAGACTGTGTGCCTCACATGTTTAGGTATTGGGAATAGAGAAACACGCTCCCCTCAAAGAGTTCAGAGCAGTGTAATAACAGAAAGGTAACCCAGTAAGCAAAATGATTACCATTTCTTCAGAACTCGCCTAAGTAGGAGGCTCTGTTCCAGTACCAGGTAAGTCACAAACTGAAATGTACCTGTTCCTAAGTCTAGTTAAAATCACCATGCAGTTTCTCACTGAGCCCTTCCCATTTCAGTCTTTTTCGTGCATTCACCAAAGTATTTATGCTCATCCCCCCCCATTGTTTTCCTGTTCGCTGTGTGGTGTTAAATGTTTTACCCCTACAGTAATTTGTAATCTGTTAGGATTTCACTTCTCATGGTTCTCCCAGTTAGGTTTTAACCAGTGATAAGCCTTCCAACCTGCTCCTTAGGTGCTCAGCGTGTGACCTAGTTCTAGTTGTGACGCAGGAGAAGAGCTCTGCACTCTGAGCTCAAAGATTTGGTTCTAGTTCTGGGAAGAACCTGTAATCTTGCTGTGCTAAAGTGTCCAGTTTACAGGAAGGAGGATTAGAGTAAATGATTTCTGAAGCCTCTTCCAGCTGGACCACTGGTGTCAGTAAGCAGTCACACATCCTGCCGGCTCACAGAACTTAGCTTCAGCAGCAATACTTCTTAGCTGTCATCCAAAAGAATAGGTGTTCTTGTGCAATTTCTTGGGATCCTGAAATTCTTTCAATAGTGAGAGGGTAGTGAAAACCAGTAACATAGCAGGAAACTGATCGCCCTGTGGAACATTAGCCACATTTCACAGATGAGCAGAATAGAACCGTACAGGCACAGCATCTAGTCCAGGGCCCACTGGAAGTGAGTAGAGTCGCTATTTGTGGCATCCGCAGTGTTTTCTGGTAAACCATGGGAGCTGCCCGGTCGTAGTTCCCTGGAGATACAATGTTAGGCTCTCTGTCCGTCCCTTGGATTTTATTAACCTGCTTCATCCTGTCCCTCCTCATTGTTGGGCTTCCAACGGTCTCTCCTTGGTGCTCTTCCTACTTTTAAATTTCTGATTCACATATCCTTCCTCTGGTTTTTATTTTTAAAATTTTTGTGTGATCATCTTCTTCTGGGGTTCCTGGTACAGGGTTCTTTTTTCCTCATAAATATATAAAAAAAGTTTTGGCTGTTTTAATCTGTTCTCTTTAAAACCTTCAAGCTCCTCCCTTTAAGGAGGCAGTCTTTATGTTTAGATAGTTCTTTATAATTTACAAAGTTCTTCACGTAACACCTTATGAATTTCTCAAGTTCATTGTGTAAGAACCATGACTGTAAAGAATGTGTTGGAGAGTTATCTTCCTTTTGCTCACTGGAATGCTGAAGCTCAGGGAAGTTAAGTGACCTGTTGAAGATCACACAGCTACTGGGGATACTTGTCCAGTGTTTATTTCTACTTCTTTAATTTTTCTATACTTTGAGATCTTCTATCTTAGAAAATGTAATGATTATGTTTTCTAAGCTACAAATCTAAAGCTGATTATTTCACAATAGTTTTTAAATATTTATAATTTAAATTAAATTGTGTTATATAATTCATATCTATAAATACTAAATATATTTTTGTAATATATAACTTTAATATATTGTTTCAGTTAACATGTAAAATGTTAAATATATTTTATAAGTTTACATGCATAAAAAGTCTTTAATTTTTACGTATCTTAATTTTTTCTTTATTACAGAATTATATGCTCTTTATACAACTTGGAAGTATTATAGAAATATTTAATGTAGGCATTGACAACCCCTTAAAATCCTAACAGATAATCAACATTGATACATGGGTATTGTATGGCCATCGTATTACATGGCCATAAATTTTAAGATATCTTAAATATCATAAGAGCTGTTTTAATACTTTCTTTCACTTAATAAAATGATGCCTTGAACAAATATTTCTGTAGTCATTCTTGAGTCTTTTGACAAAGCATAAAATTTAAGCTCCATTATCTGTATCTATAAAAATGGCATTTATAAGAAAATAAAACTAATAGGTACTCAGGACCATCTGAGAAAACCCACTCTCCTTGCTGCTCTAATTGAATACCAGAAAGCATATATCCTGTAGTATACCTTACAGGTAACTTGTAATTACTTAAAATAAAGGTTCTCTTTACTTTCGTCCTGTGCCCTTTCCATAATCCTATTTCAATAAGAAAACTATAATCTTGCTAAGGAAGCCCATTTCCCATGTTTTATGAGAGGCAGGGGGCATAAGAAATGGAAACGTTTTATTGGCCTAGACAAGCTCACTTCAAATGGGGCAGCTGGAGAATGTGGATGGAAAGGTGCTAGGTTAGATGCTGTGGTTTTCACTGCCGCTTTCCTCCCCGCAGGTGATTGTGGAGAAGGCTCCCAAGGCCAGGGTGCCTGACCTGGACAAGAGGAAGTACCTGGTGCCCTCGGACCTCACCGGTAATGCTCTCTGTCTTGACCCTCCTGTGGCAAAGCATTCCCACCCCCCCTGCATGCCTGAGAGTGTGATGTTGAGAGAAGGTAGAGGTGGAGAAAGTGAGTGGGAGCCTCCAGAGTTAGAGGATTCTAGTGTGAGTGACTCAGTACTTCGTCCTCATCGGCAGTTTCCTTAAGCATTTTGCACAGTGTTCCACTGGCTTTAGGCACAGCAAAGTGCAAAGATTTGAAAGAAAAGACCAGACATCCATTATTTACCCCACTTAAAGTTCAGTTTTGTTAATTATGATACCAATTTATTCCAAAAGGAAAACCAGACCAGTTTCTTGGTAAAATCACATTTTAGAGAGTCTCAGCTGAATACCTTGTCTCCTTGAGCTACAGTTTTTTGTCAATACATTTTGGTTCTGTCGATACTGTTTGGAATTACAAAGAACATATCAATCTTAAGGCTTAGTGATACTCAGTGGGATAACTACTACATCCAGTAGACACTGGAGAGATTTTCTAGATATGTTTGCTGTAGTTACTGGATTTGAGTGTCAGCCTTCTGGGGCTTTGTCAGTATTGGTGGAAGGCAAAGTGCTGAACCCCTCGCTGTGCCCACGGTAGGGTAGGGGCTGGGCTGAGGTCGTCGGAGTCCTTCCTCCCATCACTGGTGTGTCTTGGAGTGGGTGTAGGGCTGGAGTGTGTTTCAAATCAGATTTTAATGGATTATTTTCAGTCTGGATGTACATAAATACTCCCCCAAAGTCATTCTTGGGCTTTGAGTAGATAAGCTGACGTTGGGTCTGAAATTGAGTAAAAGGGGGATGGCTTGAGGAGTAAACTCAGTGGCATGTCAGAGTATGCAGGCTTCTTTGAGTGTCACTTGTTATTTCTAAAGTTGTAGAACAGTATTTGGCTCTGCTCAGATGGTATCTAAAGCTGGTATTTCAAGGGGAACAGGTGCACTAGAATTTTTTCCTGGGACTTCTCCTCTCCTAATCCCTTGTTTTCTTCCCTCCCTTCTCGCCTTCCTTTTCTAAAACCACCTTCCTTCACCCAGTTGGCCAGTTCTACTTCTTAATCCGGAAGAGGATTCACCTGCGGCCTGAGGACGCCTTGTTCTTCTTTGTCAACAACACTATCCCTCCCACAAGCGCTACCATGGGCCAGCTGTATGAGGTAACGGTCCCACTCACAGGACCTGGCGCTCTCGTGCTCCCTCGCTTTTGTTGAACTGTGTGTTGGTAACACACCTGGGAACTGGGTCAGGAGGTGCTATTTATCTGGATCCTCTTACACAGGGCGGTGTGAGGCTCTGGGAGATGACACACCCCTTGTCCTTTAGGGATTGCCTGCTGGATTGTGTGCCTGCAAATGCTCAGTCTTGCCTTACCCTAGTGTTTTAATCTTAGATCGTCTTTATTGATAGAGTTGAAAATTGTTTCTGAGTGCAAAAATTCCAAATAAAATGAAATATAAAATTAAGGCAAAGTCTTCACATTGATTTGTTTAACAGATTAACTCAGAATAATTTATATGATTTCATTTGGTTTATAATAGGTAAACTGTCAGAATCTAATGAGAAAACCATAGTTAGGACTTCATCATGCTATGTCACCTAAGTCTGTAACTATTCCTTAAAGGATTTCACAGGAATATCATCTTACTCTGTCCAATTAGTGAACTACAAAAACTTTTCTAATAACCTGTAACCTTATTTTTATTCCACAGCATATATTCCCTGTCAGTAGATAGTGCAGTATGTATTTTTATTGTTTGCATTTTCTGTGTGTGAGAATGAGCTTTTAAGGGTCCTGTTCATATCCGATACTTACGTATATGGTGATCTCCGTGAAGATCTGTTGTGAACTCAGTTGAATTCCAGCCACTGCTGTTTATTCTGTATTCCTCTTTACAATGGGGGTGAGTGATATCTTCCACACCCGCTTTCCCAAGTTGTATGAGGCTCAGAATCTTACATGATTGTGTTTTTCTAAACTGTGCTGTTGTCTCTTCCCCTAGGACAACCATGAGGAAGACTATTTCCTGTACGTGGCGTACAGTGATGAGAGCGTCTATGGGAAGTGAGTGGTGGGAGCCCAGCGGATGGGAGCACCTGGACTCGGGGCAGGGGGGTGCTGTGTGTGGGACTTGGGGAACGAGGGAAGGGCTCCCACTGCGGAGGAGACAGAACGTGAAGACATTCGGAGACACTACAGTGCACACACCATTGTCATATTTTCACATGCTCAATTGATATTTTTTGCTGCTTCCTCATCCCAGGGAGAAAGCCTACCAGGACAGAGCTGTTGGATTGGCTTTGATAGAGGAATGGGGATGATGTCAAGCCACATTTCTGCAGTTTCATAAGTGTCAGGAGGTGGGCAGGTTGGGGCCAGAGATGACTACAGACCACCAGTAACTGCCTGCTCTCCCTTCTCTTGGGGCAGAGATTCTTTTTTTGACATTTGCACAAGGCAGGTAGAGAAGGGGATGGGAATGTTTTAGGACTACTGGTAGTGGACCATTCCTGGGGACCAAAAGAGACCCATTATAATTAAAGCATTGTGACCCCAATATCCTGTCTCCACACATCTTCCCCATCGCAATGCTAATCTCACACATACACACACACATCAGCACCACCCCAGTGGTGGTGATAGACATCAGACACAGCAATTTAAATGGAGCTCTCTTAGTGTTGGAAAATGGAGCAGTATAATTATGATAATGAAGGTAATTAGGATAGCATTAAACTGGAATTGACTTTATACTGAGCATCTCTGGCTAACCTGCTCGCTCTCTGGTGCCCCGTATCCCACACCTACCTGGGATTTCAATGAGCCACGATCATTTCCAATTAGAGGCTAAAACCGCTCCTTCAGCATTTCCCAAACTTAGCTCCGTGTGTAGGGACAGAGATGTCTTGTGTTTGGAGGGGGCGGGTATGAGGTAAGGTAGGTTGCACCTCCCACTTCTCCGGGTTCCCAGCTCCCTTTCCACTGTCTCTTTCGTCTCTGTCCCTTACACAGAAATGCCAAGTGATGGACAGCTGTTTCCCTCCTTTTGTTTTCATTTACTGCAGCTGCTAGTTAGAGAATGTTGAGGGGATGACACTAGTAATTCTTGGAGATTCTGTTGATTCTGATTATATTCACTATTAGGGTTATTATATGGGTGGGGGGTGGGGAGCAGGAGCTGCACTCAGACATGACATTTCATTTCATCTCTGCTAATGGCAAGGGTCCTTCCTATGGGGGAAATCTTTGTCCATTCTGTCAGCTGTAGGTTCTTGTATAATGAGGTTTATGCTGTCAGGCCAAGGAAATAAAGTAATTGCATACTTAAAAAAACAACTGTGAGTTCAGAAACACTGCTTTTATTTAGTATGTAGTAGAGTAGATGACGTGTGAACTCTGAGCAGGAAACAGAGGGTGGCAGTTAGAAATAATGCTCACGTATGGTCAGATGGGGACACATTTCCTCAGTCCTCAGCTCTGTACTGCTCAGGAGTTACTGTCCAAGGGTGGATGTGGACAGCGTGTCTGCTGCAGTGGCAGTACGTGCGTGATTCTCTGCAGATAAATGCTTTGTCACGGTTTCTTGGCTCTTGCAAAGCTGAAGGCAGAAGACTGCCTGCATCAGTATATAGGGTGTGGGTAGTGGATGTCCTTATGAAAAATGCAGATATCAAGGCATCATCCCAGATTCAGCCTCTCAGAGTCAGCACAAGCATTGGCCCCTTGTGATTCTGCAGTTCACTGACCTTTGCAAGGCGTTGCTCTGTATCCCTGGTTTTACTGTGTCCCGACCAAACCCCATTGTCTCTAGCGCATCTTGGGCAGCATGAGGCCACTGTCTCACCAAGCAGCAGATGGCCCCTAGGAAAGGCTCCTGCGGTCATAACAAGCTTGGTGACTTCTGACCACCTGAGAGTCTTCTACAGTAATTTGTAATCTGTTAGGATTTCACTTCTCATGGTTCTCCCAGTTAGGTTTTAACCAGTGATAAGCCTTCCAACCTGCTCCTTAGGTGCTCAGCGTGTGACCTAGTTCTAGTTGTGACGCAGGAGAAGAGCTCTGCACTCTGAGCTCAAAGATTTGGTTCTAGTTCTGGGAAGAACCTGTAATCTTGCTGTGCTAAAGTGTCCAGTTTACAGGAAGGAGGATTAGAGTAAATGATTTCTGAAGCCTCTTCCAGCTGGACCACTGGTGTCAGTAAGCAGTCACACATCCTGCCGGCTCACAGAACTTAGCTTCAGCAGCAATACTTCTTAGCTGTCATCCAAAAGAATAGGTGTTCTTGTGCAATTTCTTGGGATCCTGAAATTCTTTCAATAGTGAGAGGGTAGTGAAAACCAGTAACATAGCAGGAAACTGATCGCCCTGTGGAACATTAGCCACATTTCACAGATGAGCAGAATAGAACCGTACAGGCACAGCATCTAGTCCAGGGCCCACTGGAAGTGAGTAGAGTCGCTATTTGTGGCATCCGCAGTGTTTTCTGGTAAACCATGGGAGCTGCCCGGTCGTAGTTCCCTGGAGATACAATGTTAGGCTCTCTGTCCGTCCCTTGGATTTTATTAACCTGCTTCATCCTGTCCCTCCTCATTGTTGGGCTTCCAACGGTCTCTCCTTGGTGCTCTTCCTACTTTTAAATTTCTGATTCACATATCCTTCCTCTGGTTTTTATTTTTAAAATTTTTGTGTGATCATCTTCTTCTGGGGTTCCTGGTACAGGGTTCTTTTTTCCTCATAAATATATAAAAAAAGTTTTGGCTGTTTTAATCTGTTCTCTTTAAAACCTTCAAGCTCCTCCCTTTAAGGAGGCAGTCTTTATGTTTAGATAGTTCTTTATAATTTACAAAGTTCTTCACGTAACACCTTATGAATTTCTCAAGTTCATTGTGTAAGAACCATGACTGTAAAGAATGTGTTGGAGAGTTATCTTCCTTTTGCTCACTGGAATGCTGAAGCTCAGGGAAGTTAAGTGACCTGTTGAAGATCACACAGCTACTGGGGATACTTGTCCAGTGTTTATTTCTACTTCTTTAATTTTTCTATACTTTGAGATCTTCTATCTTAGAAAATGTAATGATTATGTTTTCTAAGCTACAAATCTAAAGCTGATTATTTCACAATAGTTTTTAAATATTTATAATTTAAATTAAATTGTGTTATATAATTCATATCTATAAATACTAAATATATTTTTGTAATATATAACTTTAATATATTGTTTCAGTTAACATGTAAAATGTTAAATATATTTTATAAGTTTACATGCATAAAAAGTCTTTAATTTTTACGTATCTTAATTTTTTCTTTATTACAGAATTATATGCTCTTTATACAACTTGGAAGTATTATAGAAATATTTAATGTAGGCATTGACAACCCCTTAAAATCCTAACAGATAATCAACATTGATACATGGGTATTGTATGGCCATCGTATTACATGGCCATAAATTTTAAGATATCTTAAATATCATAAGAGCTGTTTTAATACTTTCTTTCACTTAATAAAATGATGCCTTGAACAAATATTTCTGTAGTCATTCTTGAGTCTTTTGACAAAGCATAAAATTTAAGCTCCATTATCTGTATCTATAAAAATGGCATTTATAAGAAAATAAAACTAATAGGTACTCAGGACCATCTGAGAAAACCCACTCTCCTTGCTGCTCTAATTGAATACCAGAAAGCATATATCCTGTAGTATACCTTACAGGTAACTTGTAATTACTTAAAATAAAGGTTCTCTTTACTTTCGTCCTGTGCCCTTTCCATAATCCTATTTCAATAAGAAAACTATAATCTTGCTAAGGAAGCCCATTTCCCATGTTTTATGAGAGGCAGGGGGCATAAGAAATGGAAACGTTTTATTGGCCTAGACAAGCTCACTTCAAATGGGGCAGCTGGAGAATGTGGATGGAAAGGTGCTAGGTTAGATGCTGTGGTTTTCACTGCCGCTTTCCTCCCCGCAGGTGATTGTGGAGAAGGCTCCCAAGGCCAGGGTGCCTGACCTGGACAAGAGGAAGTACCTGGTGCCCTCGGACCTCACCGGTAATGCTCTCTGTCTTGACCCTCCTGTGGCAAAGCATTCCCACCCCCCCTGCATGCCTGAGAGTGTGATGTTGAGAGAAGGTAGAGGTGGAGAAAGTGAGTGGGAGCCTCCAGAGTTAGAGGATTCTAGTGTGAGTGACTCAGTACTTCGTCCTCATCGGCAGTTTCCTTAAGCATTTTGCACAGTGTTCCACTGGCTTTAGGCACAGCAAAGTGCAAAGATTTGAAAGAAAAGACCAGACATCCATTATTTACCCCACTTAAAGTTCAGTTTTGTTAATTATGATACCAATTTATTCCAAAAGGAAAACCAGACCAGTTTCTTGGTAAAATCACATTTTAGAGAGTCTCAGCTGAATACCTTGTCTCCTTGAGCTACAGTTTTTTGTCAATACATTTTGGTTCTGTCGATACTGTTTGGAATTACAAAGAACATATCAATCTTAAGGCTTAGTGATACTCAGTGGGATAACTACTACATCCAGTAGACACTGGAGAGATTTTCTAGATATGTTTGCTGTAGTTACTGGATTTGAGTGTCAGCCTTCTGGGGCTTTGTCAGTATTGGTGGAAGGCAAAGTGCTGAACCCCTCGCTGTGCCCACGGTAGGGTAGGGGCTGGGCTGAGGTCGTCGGAGTCCTTCCTCCCATCACTGGTGTGTCTTGGAGTGGGTGTAGGGCTGGAGTGTGTTTCAAATCAGATTTTAATGGATTATTTTCAGTCTGGATGTACATAAATACTCCCCCAAAGTCATTCTTGGGCTTTGAGTAGATAAGCTGACGTTGGGTCTGAAATTGAGTAAAAGGGGGATGGCTTGAGGAGTAAACTCAGTGGCATGTCAGAGTATGCAGGCTTCTTTGAGTGTCACTTGTTATTTCTAAAGTTGTAGAACAGTATTTGGCTCTGCTCAGATGGTATCTAAAGCTGGTATTTCAAGGGGAACAGGTGCACTAGAATTTTTTCCTGGGACTTCTCCTCTCCTAATCCCTTGTTTTCTTCCCTCCCTTCTCGCCTTCCTTTTCTAAAACCACCTTCCTTCACCCAGTTGGCCAGTTCTACTTCTTAATCCGGAAGAGGATTCACCTGCGGCCTGAGGACGCCTTGTTCTTCTTTGTCAACAACACTATCCCTCCCACAAGCGCTACCATGGGCCAGCTGTATGAGGTAACGGTCCCACTCACAGGACCTGGCGCTCTCGTGCTCCCTCGCTTTTGTTGAACTGTGTGTTGGTAACACACCTGGGAACTGGGTCAGGAGGTGCTATTTATCTGGATCCTCTTACACAGGGCGGTGTGAGGCTCTGGGAGATGACACACCCCTTGTCCTTTAGGGATTGCCTGCTGGATTGTGTGCCTGCAAATGCTCAGTCTTGCCTTACCCTAGTGTTTTAATCTTAGATCGTCTTTATTGATAGAGTTGAAAATTGTTTCTGAGTGCAAAAATTCCAAATAAAATGAAATATAAAATTAAGGCAAAGTCTTCACATTGATTTGTTTAACAGATTAACTCAGAATAATTTATATGATTTCATTTGGTTTATAATAGGTAAACTGTCAGAATCTAATGAGAAAACCATAGTTAGGACTTCATCATGCTATGTCACCTAAGTCTGTAACTATTCCTTAAAGGATTTCACAGGAATATCATCTTACTCTGTCCAATTAGTGAACTACAAAAACTTTTCTAATAACCTGTAACCTTATTTTTATTCCACAGCATATATTCCCTGTCAGTAGATAGTGCAGTATGTATTTTTATTGTTTGCATTTTCTGTGTGTGAGAATGAGCTTTTAAGGGTCCTGTTCATATCCGATACTTACGTATATGGTGATCTCCGTGAAGATCTGTTGTGAACTCAGTTGAATTCCAGCCACTGCTGTTTATTCTGTATTCCTCTTTACAATGGGGGTGAGTGATATCTTCCACACCCGCTTTCCCAAGTTGTATGAGGCTCAGAATCTTACATGATTGTGTTTTTCTAAACTGTGCTGTTGTCTCTTCCCCTAGGACAACCATGAGGAAGACTATTTCCTGTACGTGGCGTACAGTGATGAGAGCGTCTATGGGAAGTGAGTGGTGGGAGCCCAGCGGATGGGAGCACCTGGACTCGGGGCAGGGGGGTGCTGTGTGTGGGACTTGGGGAACGAGGGAAGGGCTCCCACTGCGGAGGAGACAGAACGTGAAGACATTCGGAGACACTACAGTGCACACACCATTGTCATATTTTCACATGCTCAATTGATATTTTTTGCTGCTTCCTCATCCCAGGGAGAAAGCCTACCAGGACAGAGCTGTTGGATTGGCTTTGATAGAGGAATGGGGATGATGTCAAGCCACATTTCTGCAGTTTCATAAGTGTCAGGAGGTGGGCAGGTTGGGGCCAGAGATGACTACAGACCACCAGTAACTGCCTGCTCTCCCTTCTCTTGGGGCAGAGATTCTTTTTTTGACATTTGCACAAGGCAGGTAGAGAAGGGGATGGGAATGTTTTAGGACTACTGGTAGTGGACCATTCCTGGGGACCAAAAGAGACCCATTATAATTAAAGCATTGTGACCCCAATATCCTGTCTCCACACATCTTCCCCATCGCAATGCTAATCTCACACATACACACACACATCAGCACCACCCCAGTGGTGGTGATAGACATCAGACACAGCAATTTAAATGGAGCTCTCTTAGTGTTGGAAAATGGAGCAGTATAATTATGATAATGAAGGTAATTAGGATAGCATTAAACTGGAATTGACTTTATACTGAGCATCTCTGGCTAACCTGCTCGCTCTCTGGTGCCCCGTATCCCACACCTACCTGGGATTTCAATGAGCCACGATCATTTCCAATTAGAGGCTAAAACCGCTCCTTCAGCATTTCCCAAACTTAGCTCCGTGTGTAGGGACAGAGATGTCTTGTGTTTGGAGGGGGCGGGTATGAGGTAAGGTAGGTTGCACCTCCCACTTCTCCGGGTTCCCAGCTCCCTTTCCACTGTCTCTTTCGTCTCTGTCCCTTACACAGAAATGCCAAGTGATGGACAGCTGTTTCCCTCCTTTTGTTTTCATTTACTGCAGCTGCTAGTTAGAGAATGTTGAGGGGATGACACTAGTAATTCTTGGAGATTCTGTTGATTCTGATTATATTCACTATTAGGGTTATTATATGGGTGGGGGGTGGGGAGCAGGAGCTGCACTCAGACATGACATTTCATTTCATCTCTGCTAATGGCAAGGGTCCTTCCTATGGGGGAAATCTTTGTCCATTCTGTCAGCTGTAGGTTCTTGTATAATGAGGTTTATGCTGTCAGGCCAAGGAAATAAAGTAATTGCATACTTAAAAAAACAACTGTGAGTTCAGAAACACTGCTTTTATTTAGTATGTAGTAGAGTAGATGACGTGTGAACTCTGAGCAGGAAACAGAGGGTGGCAGTTAGAAATAATGCTCACGTATGGTCAGATGGGGACACATTTCCTCAGTCCTCAGCTCTGTACTGCTCAGGAGTTACTGTCCAAGGGTGGATGTGGACAGCGTGTCTGCTGCAGTGGCAGTACGTGCGTGATTCTCTGCAGATAAATGCTTTGTCACGGTTTCTTGGCTCTTGCAAAGCTGAAGGCAGAAGACTGCCTGCATCAGTATATAGGGTGTGGGTAGTGGATGTCCTTATGAAAAATGCAGATATCAAGGCATCATCCCAGATTCAGCCTCTCAGAGTCAGCACAAGCATTGGCCCCTTGTGATTCTGCAGTTCACTGACCTTTGCAAGGCATTGCTCTGTATCCCTGGTTTTACTGTGTCCCGACCAAACCCCATTGTCTCTAGCGCATCTTGGGCAGCATGAGGCCACTGTCTCACCAAGCAGCAGATGGCCCCTAGGAAAGGCTCCTGCGGTCATAACAAGCTTGGTGACTTCTGACCACCTGAGAGTCTTTCAGTCAGTCAGGCACTGATCCGTGGGTCAGCAAGGGGACAAGTTCTGAAAATGAAAGACAAAAAGCAGTAGAAACTCCTCCTTAAAGAACTTTGAAACCATCTCTAAACCTCTTTAATGTCTTGTAGCTATATCCCTAAGCAGTGTTGGCCTCTGTAGAAGTTTACAGAATTTTATCAGTCATCACAAAGGAAGTAGGTGGTTATCAAAGGTCCGGGACAGGATCCACCGCCCCCGAGTCACGTGCAGTGCACAGATTGCCAATCAGTCAGGACTGAGGAAAGGGAGAAGCCCAAGACTGGCCAGCACCGCAGGCAGGAATTAAGGGATGCTCTGAGCAGTTTCAGTGTTGATATCAGAGCATTGGGAACAACAGATGAATTTTAGAGTGCTGTTTCTGATAAAACCAAATTGAAGCTAATATTTCAATTAAGATATTAACTGTTTTTTGGAACCAACACGCTTCCCACTACCTAAGAATGGGACTGGATGGGTAAAGGAAAAATGGCTGATCCTAGCCCTGTACCCACCCTGGAAGGAGTGCCTGCAGTGCAGGAGACAGGCCATTGCTAAGCCCAAGAGGTACTTCGAATTTTAAGGCCCTGTCTTCCCCCACCAGGCCTTTTATTTCAGTTCTGCTTATCTTTGGATTTTCTGCCTGGAAAATATATGGCATTTTGTAGATCAGGCCTCTGATTTTATAGATCCATAAAAGTTCGGTGACTTAGCAAGTTCAGAGGTAGATGCAGGCCACTATTTCAGTGCTCTGACTTGGTTACAATGCTCCTTCCTGAACATCAGTATTTCTCAGCTCCACTCCCGTGTTCCCTGCTAGTTAACCTTTAGAGCTTACTTAGCACCCTCAGGCAATTGAACTAAAAGCAGTTTATAAACTTCCTTTCACTAACTTGGGCTCCGAGTCTCATGTGAGACTGGCTGACTCTACGCTGTTTTCGGGAGACCAAGGTCAAAAGATGTGTCCGTAAGCTCATTCTTCCCTTGGAGGCTGGAAGAGCATCAGAGTCAGAGGCGGGCCCTTGGCTCTTCCTATGTACTTTGGTAGAAAGATCTCAAATGTTTCTGTCTCTATGTAGGGTGAGAAGACATTCTAGGCTTGCCAAGGATATTCTTGATCTATGCATATTGACCTGTTTGCTAACGACATCTTATTCACCATCCCAAGTTCCCCAGCAGACAAATATGTTCACTCTCCTTCTCTTAGTATAAAAATGGAAGCCTATTCCCACCATCTGGAGGGACTGGTGCCTGTGCCATCCAGTTCAGCATACCCCTGTACAGCTCTTGCCCTGTGTGGGTGGACACTGGAAAAAGAGTGCCATTCCTAAATGGCTGCCTGTTCTGCTTTATTCCATTTTTTTTCCCCTCAATGCAGAACTATTTTCTTACCTTCAAGCATTATGCATTAAAAAAGTTTCTAAGACTGTATTGTGAAATCAGAAATTAAGATGCAAAAGAAAAGAACAGGTGGTGGTTAATTCATGAACAGTGGTAACTAGGCAAATAGGTGCATTGCCCTGCACAACACAAGGAGGGGCACCATGCCACTGGCAAGTGTCAATAGTGCTCACTCCCCAGAGTGGGTGGTACACAGTCCTGTCCTGCTGTCGCAGTGACATTTGGATACAATACTGTCAGTTACTGCCGGTTGCCATGGAAATGTTACTCTGGATTCGTGTCATTAACCAGCAAATACAGCTGTGGTATAATTTTGAGGCTTGTGTGCATGTACACTTGCCCATGGATACAGCACCATTTCAGCTATAGTAATGAAGTATGTCACTTGTGGAAAATAAACTAGTTGATAAATTGATTCCATCCAGTTTTTACTTCCCAAAACTTAACTATTTCTAGTTGTGTTTTCTTTTGGGTAATTTTACTCTTGACAGATTTAAACAAGCTCTAAGCATTCATTTTAATTTTTTCCCCCAGGCATGAAACCACCAATTATTTTCAGAAACTGGCCCAGTTTGTCCTTGAATGGCTCTGAGTCCAGGTTGTCACTTCCGCACCGCCCTGAGTAATCAAGTATTTGCTTCCTGTCCCTGGCCTGCCCCCCAACTCCCACTGCCCCTTAGTATCCCTACACATTACAGGGCTACGTCTGCAATTTGGGCGACACCAGCTTGTAGCAAACTATCCCATGGATGACTCAGCTTCAGAGCTTGTTCTTCTCAACTGTTTTGATACATGCTTCAAAACAAAACAGAAACAACCCCAAAACATAAACATTAGAGTCTCTGTCCCAAAAGTTGTGAGAGACTGATGATGTCAGCCTCATTTGTCTTGTTCTGTTATAGACTTGCTTTTGCTTTTTTTCCCTCTTATGCTTAACAGTTGTGGGCACTTTTGTACTTTATAAATACATACGACCAGATGATTTCCAAAGTTGGAAGTAACCAGAAGTGGTCACACCTAAAGGTTGATGGTGTTTCAGATGGCTAATGTGCAGGTGTGATTTATTTCAACAGTGATTGATGGAAGACTGAAGTCATTCTGTGTATATATTCAATATCATGGTAGACCATTTGCTTTGACAGTTAGGTATTTATTTAAGATCCCTATGACTTTCCTGGAGAGGTACTTAGCACCTAAAACATGCATAAAATGATCTTGACCTCTTGGATGGAGCATTTTCTAATTTTTACACTTCTAAGCAGGCTCAGTTGGCTCACATCATTCAGTGAAAGCTTTGTGGGTGACGTATTGCTCAGCATTCAAGGAACAGTAACAGTAGCTCCCTGTTAGATGCTCACATGGGCCAAGTCCCTTCCAGTCTCAGCTCACCTGTCCTCTCAGGCTCCATTGGTATTTCAGCAACCACGATCCATTCCTGGCTCTCCCACTGTATCCCACCTTGCTCTGCTTTGTCTTTCACTTAGCACTGGTCACCTTCTAACATTTTCTTAAGGCTTCACACTAGAATGTAAGCTCCACAGAGCAGAAGCTTTGTTTGCTCATTGACACAAACTGGTTACAACAATGCCTGACAGAGTTGTTGCTCAAAAATTAGTGAAAGCATGGTAGCTTCTGATAGGACAGATGATATCAGTTCAAGGACTAGGTAATTCCGTTAAGAACTAAACATCCATAACAGCACAAGTTACAGAAGGACCAGTCAAGGGAACTTTGGGAACTCTTGGAGCTTACAAGAAAGATCTGGAGGCAGGAAACAGCTTGAATCCCAACACTGCCATGTAACTGGCTCTGAGTTGGGCCAGTTTTTCTTCTGATCAAATGAAAATCTGAGTTTCCTGTCAGATTGAGTGATAATTACGTTATATGATGTGAGTATTGAATAAATCCTTCGCAAACCATTGAATAGTGTTAATTCAAATTCAGGATATGGCAAGAGTCACTGAAAATGAAGAGGCATGTCTTGAATGGGATGTCTCTAAGGATAGATAGTCCTTAGATGATGGAAATTGCAGAGACGGTTCTTTTCCTTTTGGAAAAACCCCCAAATGGCAAATCCCTCCAGCAGCCACACTTCTAAAATACCTACGACTGAGCAAGAAGGAGAATTTAAGAAGAAGCAAAGAGAACAACCTTTATAAGCCAATTATGTATAAATCACTGTGCTAAGTAATGTTCTCTCACTGAATCTTGGGAAATAAACTCTAGGGTGAATATTTTAATTCAGTGTGACTGATAAATAGGAGGAAGAAAGGTTAACTTTTCCAAGTCAAAGAGCTAACGTTGAGCTATATAGCTAGGTTCAAACTCGGGTCCAATTGCAAATCTCGTGCCTGGGTCTTCACCATGGTCAAAGCAGATTAGGGCCTTTTAGTGATTACATGTGAAAGTTTGATCACATTAAAGACTGCAGCTATAAAGCATTCCAGCTTCTCTTTGTGATGGTGCCCTTCCTATAACTGAGTTGCTTCTGTTTGCTATTTACAAACGCAGTGGTCATTTCACACCTCAGACCCTTTTCTTATGCTGCCCTCTACCCAGAGGGCCTTTCCCTCCCTGCCTACTGTGCTCTCTCCAGGAGCAGCACCTCTATGAGGATTAGCTAAAAGGACAAGTAACCATAAAATGGAGTAGCTTAAAGGAGATACTCATTCCATGCTCGTGTAAAAAAGTCCAGGTTTGATACCATGGTGCAATTATAAATTAGTGAATGCTTAATGTGCCAATTACCTAGTAATAACAGCATTAACATTTCTAAATTCCAAGGGCCAAGTTGATTACTAGCATAAGAGATTGTGTTAGTTTTATGAATATAATGCTAATTGCCCCACTCTTTCCTTCTTTGCTAAAAATGTTATAATGGACCTAAAATGGGTGGGAATTAAAAATAGTACTTTGAATCTCTATCTTGATCCTTTTGTGTATAAGGAATTTAAGACCAAGGCTAAGTGATTTGCATACATTCCCGGTTTTAATAATGTTCAGGCTATTTTATAAAGTTAATCACTGGTATCTTTTTTATTCTTTGTGAGCATACTTTTTCAAGTTCTTATAAAATGCAACTATATTTATCCTTTTTTTAAAAAACCTACCACGGGCATAAAAGCTGCAGGGCATAAATCTGCAAAGAAGTAAAAAGCTAACCTTTTCAAACAATATTGCTTCTCTCTCACTTACCAACTTTACATTTCCCTGTATGGCCCCGGAAGATGACTGGTTAGCCAGAGACGGATAAGATTCCTCAAGGGAGGAACAACCTAAGACAGGCACAGCCACAGGGTGGCCATCAGGTGAGAAATTGGGGATCAACAGAGGTGAGGCCTAGAACCTCACCCCCCATGTTTTGAGAGAAATCTGCATCCGTGGATGTTTTATTGCTCTTGTCTAGCTTGGATTAACACTTAGTCTACAGGCACACACCTGATCATCTAAATTTGCTCTCTTACAGCACTGAACTATGTTTTCTACCTTTATCTTGCATCTACCTACCACTTCAGCATTTTATTAAAAAAAATAATAATAATAAGGGAGAAATGTGGGATTCACATATAAATCAAGTATAAAAATCAAACGAATATTCATATTTGACCTGATTGTTTATAGTTCATAATGTGATCAAAACAAAGTTTCTGTGATGTCTGCCCTTGTACTGCTCACCATGTAAGAACTTATTCACTATGTAAGAACTTGTTCATTATGCTTCAGAAGATTGGAGACTGATGAGAATTAGGCTTGGGGTGGATTAATGATTGTACATTGAGCATTGAGTCCCCTATACAGAATTTTATTGTTGCTAACAACCATTTGATCAATAAATATGAGATGCCCTCTCAAAAAAAAAAAACCTACCACAGGGTCTAGCCACAAATGAATAAAGATTAAGATGGCAGAATCTTAAAAGAGTTTGAAAGTATCTTAAACAAATATATTACCTTTAAAGTTGAGAGACATGGCTCATTCACCAGAACCCACTTTCCTCTTTTCCCATATATTAAGTTTCTTAGGAACATGGCATCTGTCTTGCCAATGGCTTTCAGCCCCAGGCAAGTTCACTATGAATTCAATGAGATCAAAAAATGACAGTGGAACATTCTTAGGGTGAAAAGGTTTATACCCAACTTTATTCCCATGGTGGCAGGTCAGTCACTAGAGTCCTGTCCATTCAGAGCGAGTCTGCATGCAGGAAGCCTGTCTCTGCCTCTGGGCCTCTCTGCCCCCCCGCAGCCGTCTCAGTCTCTGTCCTTGGTGCTGCCACCACTCCAGGCTCCTCTCTGCTCTCCTGCAGCCTTGTAGCCATACCACCGTGTCACCCAGAGCATTCCTTGAGCCTGAGGGTAGAAGCAGAGCATGGAGCGCTCCACAGCCTGAGGAGGGGGCTGCAGCTCTCCTCGAAGAACCACAGTTGCACAAGCTGGCTTTTCACCAGCTTCCAAATAGGTGGGGTCTCAACCGAGGAGGGGCTGATGCCTCTGGTACCTGGCAGCCTGCGCTCTCGGGCTGCTCCTCGTGCTGCTTCCTCTCAAGCTACCATGACGTCTTTTACCATTTCCACAGCACCTCATAGTGACGCCATTTCAGTCACCAACAAATTTCTTACCTCCTCAACAGCACCTCACAGCTCACATTCTCAGCTGCCTCCTCTCATGTTTCCTGCAGGAGGGCATCTTTCTCCTTATGGCCTTTCTCGATATTGTGAGGAAACAACTCCCCACTGCTCCCACTGTTTCTCTGAGGAATTCCCTGTTTTGCTGAGGGCCAACTTCACTGCCTCAGGTGTCACCTCCACCCCTTCCCACTCTTGGGGTGGGGCCCAGTCCTCCAAGAGGCAAGCCACATGAGACCACACGTCCACTGGGGGACACTCGAGTGGCTCCCTGTCCATAGGCACAGCTCATGGAAACAGGGCAGCCTGTTCTTTTCCTTGATCAACAATGAATCCTGCCAACTGTTACCAATTGTCTTTCCAATGGGTTTCAGCCCCAGGCAAGTTGACTACGGATTCAGTGAGACCGAAAAATGACAATGGAACGTTCTTGGGATGAAAGGGTTTATCCCCAACTTCATTCTCATTGTGGCAGGTCAGCAAGCTGGTCTCTGCCTCTGGGCCCCTCTATCCCTGCAGCCGTCTCAGTCTCCGTCCTCAGCGCTGCCAACACTCCAGCCTCTGCTCTCCTGCAGCCCTGCAGCTGTGCCACCTTGTCGCCCAGAGCACTGGGCGGAGCTCTTTATATACAGTCAATAGCCATGTATTACCCACATGTGTTTAGTGAGCTAGCCAACCAGGGCCAGGTAAGAATCCCGGCCATAGGAACCTTCACTTTCAAATAAAGACTAGATTGTTCTTGCTCTTTTTGCAACTTTGCATAAATATGCCAGTTACTTAACCAATATAAATTTCAATTTCCTCAATGGTAAATTAAAAATAATGCCTGGTTCTTGGAATTACATTGTTTTGTACTGTGGGGAAAAAGGAAGTTCCCATGGCCAGGATCCTCACCTGTCCCTAAACTACTTGATATAACTGGCCTCCTGCTAGACTACTGCTTCCACACTCTTGGGCAATAAGCTATTACTGAGTGAGTCACTTTATAAAGAGCTCTCTGCCCAGTGCTCTAGGCAGAGGCAGAGATGAAGGAGGCCTGCAGAAGGAATTGTAGTGCTCAACCTATTGCCAGGAGAACAAAGCTGGGTAATAAACCCTTTCACCCCAAGAATGTCCTATTGTCATTCCTCGGTCTTACTGAATCCACAGTGAACTTGCCTGGGGTGGAAACCCATTGACAAGATGTACGTAGTTCTATTATAGTGTGTGTTAATCTGAAAATACTTGTAATTTTTCCTTTACACGTTTGTCTCCTTCCTTGGCTTAAGTTCTTTAAGACCTGGATTATGTTTAATTCCTCTTTATATCCCAGTGCCTGGCTCTTAGTACAATGTTGACTCTAAAGTGACTGCTACATAATATAGCAATAAAGACTAAAGCAGATTGGACATTTCTCATAGCCAGCATATTAAGTACAAATCTCAAAATCTCTAGCTGGTGAGGCATCTTTGGAAGCAAATTAAACCTTTAGTCAATTAGATGAGAGCATAGCTTGTTAACTGCCTTGTTTCCTACTAGCTTCTCCATCTGGCTGCAACCACCATCCCTGGGCTCAGTGCTGCAGCTTTGCTGGCTCGCTGACTTCCTCAACCTCACCCAGACTTTTATAACCTTAAGACTTTCGAAAGATTTCTCTGGAATATTCGTCCCTCTGTGTTCATCAAGGTTCTCCAGAGAAATAAGTAATAGGATTATTATATAGAGATAATGTACATGTTTCTTTACAAGATTTAAGTACTCACCTCAATCCTGATTATTCATAAGTTGTCCCTCAGACAAAAATTAACAGCCAAAATACTAACCATGGTTCTATCTTCAGGTTTTACTCACTCATCTTCTACTTGAAACATAAAAATTAGAAATGCAATTATTTGTTAAGAGGCATGTTCAGGGAACACCCATAGGGGGAGAAAGAAAAAAAGTGTAGCATTTGCAATAGTCCAGGCAGAGGTTTGTGTTGATCTCCGTCCGTATCCTCCTACCACGCTGAAGATGCTCAGCTTTTCCTGGTGAGACGCATCCACGAGCATTTCCTGCAGGCATCTGACCTACAAGGCTGCAGCCCTGAAGGACACAGGTGCTGCACATCCCCACTTTGGTTAAACTGCAGCAGGAGAGAGATGACTTATTTTTTAAAGTTCCTGGAGGACTCTAATCAACAAGGCTCCTCTACAGAGTGGGCGGTTCTCCTTAACTCTGTTGTTCAAGCCCATTTCAGGCTCTTCTGTGGGCAAGACTCCTGCCTCACCCTGTGACCCACAGGGCTGCTCCGCGTTCCACCTCATCACCTGGGAAGCCTGAGTCGGGGGAGAACTCTGGGTTAGCAGAACACCAGACCGCCTGGAGGGAGCCTCTGGTTTCACCTTTTCTTTTATTAGCTGCTGAATTCTGTCAGCTGCAGATTTTCTTTGCTGATTGCACCCCACCCACCAGACCACTGAGACAGTACGCAGTATTTATGTTTTACAGATCCTTAAAAATCCACTGCCTTATTTAGCCCTTACAACAAATTAAAGGAGTCATCACATTTTGCAGATGAAAAAACCCTGTTAAAGGGTTTATGTCCAGTGATTCAGGCTTCAACAAGCTCACTCGCCTTTCTGAGCCTCGTTTTCTCATCTATTAATTAGAAGTAATGCCAACTGCTGCTGTGGGTGGTGATGAATGAGATACAGCTTCAGAGTTCTTGATCTGTGTACTGGAGAAATGTTCCCTTTCTCATTTTGAGTGAGGAAATAAACTCAGAGGGGGAAAACATTTATGCATGTCTTATTCCAAGTAATTGGCAAAGCTGGGATTCCCATCCAGGTTTTAAAATTTCAAATCCCATAGTTGCACTGAAGGGAGATTCAGCCCTGGGCAAGTTCACTTGAGTTGGGGGTAAAAGGGTTTATACCAAACTTTATTCTCATGGTGGCAGGTGGAGTGCCTAGAATCACATCGCTTCTGGCAAGTCTGTAATCCATTTCACCTCTGCCTATGGCAGCCGGAGGAGAGCACTGGGCAGAGCACTTGACATAGTAACACCCACAACAATGGCTCACTGCCAGCAGGCATGGAAGCATTAGCCTAGCAGTAGGCCAATGACTTCACCAAGTAGATGAGTGTCAGGTGGGGATCCTGGCCATAGGAACTCCCGTTTTCCCTGCAACAACACATTGGTATCAATTCTGGAACTGAGAGCACCTTTTCTGAATTTGCTTTGTTCTAAGTAACAAAATAATTCTTGCCAGATCCTTATTTCCTTCTCCATCAATTCTTGCAGTGTTGCAGAATCTAAGACAAACCTAGTTGGTG